TATACGAGATTTTTTTATTAACCCTCACATTAAAACATAGTTTTCTTTTTCCCCATCACAAATATTCAGAAAACATACATTTTTATTATACATAACTTATAAGATTAGCGAGAGCATAATAGCGGTCTGTCAGACCAACATTGTGGTTAGTGTAATTTATTGAGATGTGGTGGTTTAAAGGTTAAATATTAAATATTAATTAGTTAGATATTCTAATACTGTGTATTATTACTGTATATTACTACAAAAAAATCAGTACAGAACTCTCTAGTCTTTTATATGTTACTTATTTTAAAGTCAAGCATATACAAAAACCTAAATTCAATTCTCGATTCTGTTATCACATATATAAGAAATTTTGAATAAAAAGAATATTTCAAATAGTTAAATCAAAAATAGATTTTGCAAAGAATACACTACAAATTTTGCCAGCAGGATGTCAGCAAAACAGAATCTACTAACAGAATGATATATTACCAATAAAAACTAATCAGAATCTACTACTTATTAACTATTTAAACAATACATTCCGTTTAAATCATTATAAAATATATATGAAATAACGACTTTGTTCATTTTTTTACAACAATCTGTTGTTAGATCTGTTATCAGCAAATCTGCAGCAATATTTTGGTGACAAACTGCTGGAATATTATAAACATTTTGCTCACTGAGATTATCCTACTGTATTGATAACAAAAACAAGCAAAAATAAATCTCGAAATAGAATCGAGCAGTATATCAATTACCTAGTTTACACCAAGCACTTGGTATGCATTGGTACACATCAAAGTACTTGTTGTAAATTAGGTGCATCGTAATAAATTGTAATCCCAGAAGAAATGGAAATTGAAATCAAATTTTCTGAAAACTTAAAAACGACTTAACCTAATGCCATCCTCTATCATAATCCGAATCTTGTCCTGCTTAGAAGAGACACCGTGGTTGGCCAAAGTCGCGAATTTGGTCGCAACGAGGTCCTGCAGCTGATCGCCATCCCCGTGAAAGCCGTTTGAGGCAAATCTGCCGGCCGGTGGCTGTCGTTTCTCGAGCACGGTCGTGGCGGTGATGTTGGTGGTGATGGTATTGGCGGCGGCAGCAACAGCAGCGGTGACGGTGGCTGAAGAGGTAGAGGTAGCGACGGCAATGGAAGCGGCGTCGCCATTCTCCACACAAGTGTCACTGCGCTCCTTTTTAATCCGTTTACCATCGAACGCGCTCTCCTCCTCGCTCTTCACGGGTGTTTTACAGGGTTTCGTCTGATCATGACTGTCAGTACTCATCGTAGCCCAAACCTCACCGTCCCAACCGTCCCACCCTTCCGCCCGTCCACCTCTCGCAGCCGGTCGTAGCTCACGTATGCGGAAACGTATCGCCTCCCGGTGCACGGCCACTGCGAGCTACCATGTTGTCCGCCATTCGGTGGTCAGCTGGGCTACTACTCGTTAGCATCCCGGCGCGCCATTACTCAGCGGGGCCTTCCGTTCGCGCGTAAGGAACTGCCACACGGTCGCCGAACCGCGTACGATATGCGGCGATGCGCGGATCCGTCATAACGGCACCGCGTGTGGCGTGATGACCGCGTCGGTACAGGCGCTCAAATCGGCCGGAGCGCTAGTAGCCGGAAGATCAGGTAAGAACAACCACGAATCGATACCGGCTACGATGGCCCACGAACATCCACTCGTCTATTCGCCGCGCTTCGTTCCTCGGTTTGCGCGTTCTATTCCATCGCCATAGAGTATACACCTCGAACGAAACGATACTTCGGCTGCGTTTGGTTTAGCGCTTACAGCGCTTGTAAGCATTGGCTGCGTTCAGCAGAAAAAGCGGCTTTGCAACTGTTGTAAAATTCTTTAATATGATTGGTTTATACATTTAGATCCGTGAAGAACTAAAGGCAAGAATCAATCATGTTGAAGAATCTCACAACAGTTGCAAAGCCGTTTTCTCTGCTGAACGCAGCCATTCATATCAAGGGTGTGTTCTCATTCGCTGATTTTCAGTACAGTATCCAATCACAGTATAACAGTAGAGAACGGTCATGCCCGCGATTTAGACCCTCGTGAAGTTTAGCCCGCAAGATGAAAATTTCTGAACGATCAATAGCTCAAAATAATGC